TAATCTTAACGGAACTTGAAAAAAAATAACATTACTTGATTGCATTTCTTGCACTGCTATTTTTGTGAACACAGCTGTACATATTAGATATAGATATATAGATCTGTGTATTACGTGTTATTTTTGTGTTTGTGTTATATTTCTTAAACATTTTCCTATTTATAATTTTCAAAATCTTACCCCGAACAGTCAAAAACATATTCAGGTTAAGCTTCATTATGCCGGCGCTCTATATACATACATATATATATGCCTAAAATAAAAATACACATAATTCTGTTTTTACTCGGTTTGACTTAAAACAGTTTGAATATAACCAAATTTTTTTTTTTACACGATTTTAACCAATTTTTGGGTATAAATTTTATTTGTCAGATTTAATTTTTGCGAAATATGAATGTATATATGTTCATATCACAAATTTAGAGGAATTCCCGTTTTGTGGATACAACCAAGTTGAATGGTCAGAGCAAGCATAAATTTGGGGGAATGATCAATGTATTTTTTACACGTTTTTTTCTAGAACCAATCTACCGTGTAAAAACAAAATTATGTTACCCATTAAGATAATTGCAACATACTCGTATATACATATCAACATATACATATGTACATATAAACACATATACGCGCAATTGTAAACCATTTATCTCCATTTAGATCTATATGTTCACATAATTTTACTTACTGACACTTTTTCTTATAATTAAACACTTTATTCATACTTTACTTTACACATTTTGCACAAAATCACAAAATCCACTCTTGCTCACTAAACAATAATTTAATAAATTTCACAAAAATCACGCACGTGCCAACGCACCGACCACCGAACGGAAAGCAAAAATTGTCCAGTTATTCCAATTAACAATGGCGCGTACAAGAAAAGTGATGCCAAAAACAATAAATTCCCGTTAATTATTTCAATTACAAGATCAAAAAATCTAGCATACCCTCAGGCGTCGCGGAATCAAGCATCATTTCAGATGAAAATATACACTAAATTGCAAAAGTATTATAAGTATACTGCTGGGTTGTCTTCAAAAGCATCATCCAGCCTCTTAAAAATTCACCTAGAGATGTCGCTATAAACATGATGATGCAATGAACTAATTTTGTTTAGTACACTTTTGAACTTCATCTGTAGATGTCACCGAGTAATTTCGAAGCCAATCTCCAACCTGATTGGTGCGTGACTTCGATAAAGCAACAAATTTAATAACTCGAGATTCTTTCCACATACTTCCAGTTGCACGGGCAATAAACAATATCCTGTCAGTTGAAGCGCGGATGTCATTTCGTAAAGTTGTTGAAAATAAGTGAATTGTGAAATGAAATGATTTTGTGCAAGTAAAAATAGTGTAAATTGAAGTGTGAAATTGTGTGTGTGTTAAGTTAATAAAAAGTGGTTGCGCAAGGAATTTTATAATCAAATGCAGTAAGAAAAGCGTTAGACTTGAAAATGCGTGCAATCTAAGGAGGATTTTGAAAAAAGTGCTACAAGTGTCTGAAATGGGTGAAATATAAGTTTAAAGTGAGTGTGAAGGATTAAATAAGTGAAATGTGTTGTGATTTATTACAGTATAAGTTAAAAAATTAGTAGCAGAAGTAGCGGGATCTTGTGTCGACAGAATCTCGAAGTGGCAGCAGAGGTTCCTCTACTTGGTAAGCTTACAATTAAGATTAATATTGTGTAAAGCCATTAACGGAGGTATTCTGTATGGCTATTGGCAAAAACGACTACTAAATCAGTATCATCTAGAATGACAAAGCGCTTTAAATATGTCATAAATTTTAAAGAAGTAATTCAGCCTACATCTCGCGGAGGCGTCACAGTCAAGAAAGGCTTCTCTCAGCATCGGGCAAGACCTGCTTCAAAAACGCTGCCGTAGTCAGGCTACCTGAAACTAGTGTTCCCAAGAATATACTTGTCCACCAACCTTGTTGCAAACTTTAATCCATGCTAAAAAAGCTCCTCCTCCTGGGGGTCTTTAGATCTTAAAAAGAAAACACTGGATTGTCGAATATGAGCGAATTAATTCGAATAGAAATCAAAGCGAGGTTTCCGGAATGTTCATGTACATATTCCTGCAGATTCTCAGTTTCTCTTAGTCTGATGAAAACTGAGCATATTAGTCTTAAATTCCTGTAGCCTTTTGCTGTACTCTCCATCAAATAAAACCCTTATAAAACGCACAAAACCCTCATAAAACAAAACCATAGTTCAGGGTTTTTTGAAGTTAAAGGACTACCTTTTGCAAGTGGCTCCATCTTTTGCAAATAGCTTCTTTGCAGCAATTCAAGGTGACCTATGCCTTCTTTGCTCTCTCCTTGCTATAAGGCTCTCGGGAGAACTTCCTAATTAGTATAAGCTTTAAATACTTTGCCTTGTACGTAAAGTGGAGCTATATGCCTTCCATTAAGGGAGGAACATCTTATGTTCTGTTCGTAAAAGAAGTTTTTTGAGCTTGAATTTTTGGTAATTTGGGTTTCAATCGCTCACCAACAGTTCCGGCACTAACTTTAAGCTGTGGTGGTTAATTATGGCTGATGCAAATGGTTTCATTTTGCATTTAATGGTTTGTACTTTGGTTCTCGTGTTTCAATTTTATTTTCATATTTCACAGCATTTGCTATATTTGAGTTAAACATATTATAATATCTTAAAATTTTCTTATACTCTTTTGATCCCTTTTTACGCCATTCATCATTGTTTATAACGTTTTTTCCATGTACAGTTTTGGAACTTGCAAAAAACCGTTAGTTATCATTAAATACTTCCATCAGAATATTTTGTGTCCCCACTAACCTGGTTCTAAAGACTTAGTACAGTTGAAGATTCATCTATAGATGTCAGCAATTCCCTTCTAAAATAGTTTTCGGTTCGTGACTTTGCTGAAACGACAAATTTAACAGCTGATTATTATTTCCAGGTAATTCTCAGTATCCTGTCAGTTGCAAGACGTCTGTCATTTCGTGTAATTGTTAAAACTAAATGAAATTTAATAGAAAGTTAAATAAAGTGATTTTGTGCATGTAAAAATAGTGTAATTTATATCTCGATCAAATTGTTCGAATAAGCAGAGTAAAGTGCGGTTGTGTATGGTTTTTGTTATGCAAATATAATATGAAAAGAGGCGTGCACGGAAGTACGTGCTTTTTGAGAAGTATTTTGAAAAAAGTGTTATAAATGTAGAAAATGTGTAAAAAATAAGTTCAAAATGAGTGTAAAGTTTAAATAAATCAAATGTGGCATAATTTATGTAAAACAAGTTAAAAGATTAGTGGCGATGTGGCAGCCGAGGCTCCGCTAAGGGGTAAGTTCACTATTACAGCTACTAGTATCGTTTTGTCTATATGTAGCATTGAATTATGATTTTTCAAAATATTATTAAATATAGGATATATAGCCATGCATAGCGATTGAAATTCTCAATTCCCTCAAATAATTGTTGAGAATGAATACTTTCGCTGATATTTTAAAAGTCATGGTTTCTTTCATAGTGAATACTGAATATATGTGATGTAGAACAAGAAATTAGTTTTCCTCTATAATGGAGGATGCTAGAGGATCTTCAGTGTTTCTGCAACTGCACAGAAATATTAAAATCACGAATTGCGACAAAACAATTAGCATGCGATCGTTGTGAATTTTTGTACTCTGAAAAGAGTATATTCGTTTGCCACGAAGTTTGTAACGCCCAGAAGGAAATGTCGGGAACGTCTAAGGTATATGTATACATATATACGTTTCAATTTTGCCATATCTGTCTGTATATACGCGAACCAGTTCCTCAGTTTTTGACATATCGCTCTGAAATTTCCACACATCATTTTTCTTCCAAGAAATTGCTCATTTTTCGGGACCACCGATATCGGACCACTTTTGTATGTGGCTGCTATGCAAACTGAACGATCAAGATTTTCATTGACTGCTTCAGTATTGAAAATGGGTATATTTGCACCATTACCATGAGGGCATTTACAATTTGAAACTTTTTATAAAGTGAGCGTCTCTCTAGCTAGCTATATCAACTAAACCAGCTGTTAAAAATATGCGCTTGTGTCAAAAATAGGTGGAATACTTCCCTTAGCCCTGATATACCTAACATATTCGAACTTCCAGTTGGCTTTACACCGTATTGTCGATCAACACATGAGTTACATTAACGAAAGTTAGCATGTGTATAAAATGTTGCACTTAGCCCTTCATTACTTCTTCATATTTAATCTCTATTAAATAAGCTCTATAGTAATTTTTAGAAGCCTGGTTATTTTTAATAATGTCTAACAAAAACCTTGAACCGCTCCTCAAAGGTCAGTAATTTGCTTTGTGGTTGTTTTAAAAATCAAAAATTCAAAAATGTATAATCATATAATATTTGAGGGTCTCTCTGGTTATAGCATCTACTTTTCTTTGAGAAGTAATGAAAAGTATATATGAAATCTGAAAAAGTAATGCATAAAAAAAGTAAATATTTTTGAAATAAATAAATATCCGTGAACTCAAATGAGTACAAATTTAGACGCTTCCATATTTGCAATCAGTTTTAATTTTTACCAAAGAAAGTTTGGAATTTCTCTTAACTGTTTCGCTATTCAACTTAATAGTCTGACTAGGAATCAATTCGTTACCTAATGATACAACCTTTTCTATGATTTTGCCTCAGCACCAAAGAAATTTTAAAATGGTTATATTGGTCTACAAAGGAATAGTGTGGTCATGAAATATATTTTTCGTCCAAATACTGATTGAATGACGAGTAATTATGAAAACTGCAATATATATTAAGTAATCCAACAAAAATCTTACGAGTCATCGAGTGCCCTGTTCATAACAATAAGACACCAATTCAAAAGATTGGCATGAAAAGCATAAATATAAAGCTATCAGAACATATTCTAAGAAAATATATAAAATTTGTTTGGAAGAAGCGACAGGGTAACATCAGTGTATGCGTTACTCAAATAGCTTTTTTCCATAATAAAATCGAAAACTCTTGAACATTTTTTAAATAATATTTATTAATTTATTATAGGCAAGTAGTATGTATATATACATTCGTGTGTACATAAGCTTCGTAGGTCAACTAAATCGAATATGCATTGCAAATACATAATATTTATGCAAACATACATATATAAGGTAATTTCAGCTTGCTTATTCCTCTTCAATAACTTAAAACTAAAGTTGGCAGTAATATTTTACAAGAGAACAAAATTAGCGAATAAAGAAAATATCATAAAAATAAATTTAAAATTTCTTAGAAAGAAGCGAGTGAGTGACATGAAACAAATATGTACTTAAGGCAATACGTCTCAATAGAAGCCATTATTTAAGACCCCGTTCACTTGAATAGATGGGTCCTCCAATGGACCATGACCGAAATGTAGTGGATCGCGTTGTGACTCGGAGCGTGTACGCGCATTCCGTAGATCTGACAAATGTTGTTGGCCAGTTACGAAGTTTAGCGAGCCCGAACCCAAAGTTATGCTGCCATCGGGCAGACGTACGTAACCGATGCCGCCTGAACCTAAAGCGATCGTGTCACCACGTGTGGTGGCACCTTTGAAGGCGAGTCGTTGCTGCTCACGTAAAATCGCATTAGCCGCAGAATCTAATTGCATGGCCGAGGGTAAAGGTGCAATAGCGCCCGTGCCAGAAGCGCCCACGAGTGCGCGATAATTATTTACAAACGATTGTGTGAGGAACGGTTTGGTGTCCTGTGAGATATCGTTGTCGACAAATTCCACCACGGCATATTGCTTCAACTGACGCCCATTGACCACATAGAAATCACCGTCGGGACCGAGGTCGTTGCCAATTTTGTAAATCGGTTGTTGACCGAATGGCACGCGTACAGGTTGTGGCTGGAGGGGACCCTGTAGGAAACCTCCAGAGCTTGATGGTGCAGAGGGCGTTGATGCGGTAGGGGGTCCATAATGATAGCCACCCGTTTGTTGTGGTTGTGCTGGTAGGCGGTCACCGTAATTACCAGCGAACGAATTGTAAGGGCCAGACGGACGCAGTTCGACAGATAATGATGGATGTACTTGGACGATTGTTTGTGTTTGCGTGCGTGCGGGAGGTGGACCTGGCAAGAAGTTCTGCACACGTGGCCGACCAGTGGGCAGTGCTGGCAGAGACGGTACCGGTGGCAGTGGCGCTACAGTTGGAATAGATCCGAAATAATGACCCGCATTACTAGGAGGACGTGCCGGTGCTGATGGTGCCGTCGGTGGTCCATAATGATAACCGTTAGCATTGACGTGACTGAAAAGCAATAGCAGCGCCGAAGCAGCGACGAGGCGGAGTACTGGTGTAGATGGGGACGTCATCTGTGGGAGAAGAAGATAAGAAGAGTAAAGTTAGATAAGAGCTACGGTCAATTGGTTTAACATAATTGTATTGTTGAAATTTTTATCCAGAAACTAGTTATCAAGTATAAAGGTATTGCCACAAAGGAAGTAGAAAATTAATCTTTGTTCAGCGGTGGCAAGTATCAAGGATATTAATTTTAATGCATATATAAAAATCGAATTTCCATCAAGGCAGAAGCCTTAATAATACCTAAAATTAATCGCTCGGACATATGGTCTGCATTTGAGTCTAATCGAGCCAGGATATTCTAAAAACTTAAAAAAATACCCTCGGTTCGGAAAAAGAATAAGAAGCGGCACCGGGCTATGAAAGAAGAAGAGAGAGTGTTTCTTAAGGAGTACAAATGGTAATATTTTGGCAAAAGAGTTCAAGTCTAATCATAATACTTTTGTTCTACATTAATTATACAAAGCTTCGATTGTAAAAACATTATTTACAGTTGTTGGACCGGTATCCTGCGGCCAGATATAAGACGAAGACAACATGTCGATAGTTATAGCTAAGGTCAAGGTCATGACCTAGACTTATTAATTCGTATAGCGTTCAACGACCTCCTTTAGGTGAAGCTCTTGCTACCGTTTCCTATTATAGAAAAGCATGATGCGACTATTCCATTTTAAGTTGTTTGTTCAAATCAAGGTCGATGTCAAAAATTGCAGAATTTTTTACAAACCATGTCTTTTCAATAATCATTATCAAACATAGAAGATCTATTCGCCATTCGAAGGCGGTTAGACTTTACAGGAAATCTCCCTTAAATAGGAGAAAAAGCTCGACCAAACACTTTGCAAAGGTAAAAACTCTAATTTTATTACATAATTAAGTACCAAAGTAAGGAAAAGCCTTTCATCATTACTCATATACAGTGCATGTCATGAGTATACCACAAGAAATGCCGTCCACTTAAGGAAAAACAAACAACATTCCTCTTTGGAACGCAAAACTGTCCTATGGCGTTGCATTGCTTTGAGACAAAACAAGTTTTTCTGTCAATTTAATTAAAAAAATAGAGTTTAATTGCACTCATACTAAAATGCCATAAAAATACGTGCAAGAATATGCACAAGTCGAGGCGTGTAAAACTCGCTGGAATAAATGAATATTCGATGCAAGCGTCGCTAAATAGCTGTACAATGGATCAAGACATTTTGTTCTGATCATGTGTTGTCTGCGATTTGTTGTTGTCATGCTGTTGGGTTTTGTCATTGTCAATGCGTTTTCTCAATGACATAAATTAATGCCACGTATTATCTGTTGACAACCGCAAGCAAAGTGGAGTTGATTGTATTGAATTTCTTAAGTGATTTAATTGGAGCTAGTAAAAATAAAAAATATGGATTTTTCTTTAATAATCAATAATTTTATGTGATTACGCTAGAAAATGTAAGTCGAATAAATTGATTTATTAAATTTTGCGTTTATTTTGACTGTTCACGATTTCAAAATCTCACTGTGATGCAAGCATTTTTCTATATATTTTCGGGATCCCGAAATTTAATCCAAATCAATGTCGCGGTCATTTTGATTACTTATGATTTAAAAAATTAATTGTGTAGTGCAATAAATTTCACATATATTTTCGGGATCCCGAAATTTTATCCAAATTAATTTCGCGCTTACTTTGGCTTCTTATGATTTAAGAAATAAATTGTGTATTGTGATAAATTTTACAACTAATTTCGGGATGCCGGAATTTCATCCAATTAATGTTGCGTTCTTTTTAGATCCATATGAATAATTTAAAGAATGAATAAATTTCTCATATAATTTCTGGATCCCGAAGTTTAATCCCAAATGTAACAGTCAGAAATCGTAGTGCTTTATAGTTTGTGTTGTAAAATTATACCTATATGTACATACCATTAGTTTATTTAAAAAAAAGTTCGGGATCGGAATTAATTTCGAATTTTTTTGTTTATAATTTTCATTTTCTTGGATGGAATTTTATCCAGACATGAGGTTAGAAGAAAAAAATTAATGGTGGTGTCAGTGCAGTAAATTATTATTAAAGTGAAGAATATTGGAAAGAATTTGTCTTCAAAATATCTCGCTTGTTCGAAGCTCTGCAAGTTTTCAAAGACTTTATACTTCAGTGAAAGAAAAGCGATAAGGCTAGTTAATGCTAGGTTAATTTATCGTTGGAGTACCACTAATTCTTTATTGGCTAAAAATACCATAATTCACTAATTTGTAGGACCTGTTCTATTGTAGAATGGGCCTTTTAATTTTCTGAATATTAACTTTTTGATTGCTTGAGAGATGTATTTACATATTTTCAAAAACAATATTTGATAAAATTTTTATAGATTTCTCAAAGCCAAATTACAAGTTATATTAAAGATCGTGAATAAGTTTAAAATCTCTAACTAATTAAACAATTGATTTATAAAAAAAATCGAATTGTTTCGGGTATTAGGTATTAAATCAACAATATTTTGTAAGAAACAATAAAAAAGATTGAGAAAAATTTCTGTTTGACAATATCTTCTTCTAATTAGTAACATTCTTGCTCTGAGATCTAAGTGAAAAAGCTCAGAAATCATAATTGTACGTATAGAACTTAGGAATACTTGAAACATTTATTTTATAAGGCAGCTGAGAATTTTAAACATGATAAATGATGCATGAAATTGGAAACATACTATTTGCCAAGTGATATATTTAGTTGATTTGCAAACACAATTCATTTGTAGCCATTCATATATAAGTATAACTGTATCTACAAACTTTAATATGTATTTATATTTATTTACCAACGTTGAAAAGACAGCCAATTAGTGTTGCCATTATGTACGAAATTACACACTTTGCGAAGGCTATAATTCTAGATAAAAAATTTGCGTCTGACTCCTCTCTGCTTGCTATATTTGGTAGCTGATTTGTCACCTTTCAGCAGCGTTTTTTGCCTTTTGCGGCTGCCATGAAGCAAAACCAATAAAACGACCGACAAACGAATAAGATTCGACAAAAGAAAACCGACTGCACCATTTGGACAGACGTTGGCTTGTCCGTCTTGACAGGCGAGTCGACAATGTGCTGAATGCTAGGACAGCGCTTACGATTTGTCTTTGTCGTTAATTTGCCATAATTATGGCGGGTGATTGCGGTGCATTATTTGTGGTGTCTACGCCTTTTGGCACTTGCGCCAGGCGTTGCCAGCTTATTCCATAGATAATGGACTACAACAATGATGTGGCATATATAAGCGAGACAAGCGTTGAACTTGTGATAAATGAACATGCTATAAAATAACGCCATTATAGCTGTGAAACAGTGGAGCTACTGTGAAATTACGCTGCATTAACGGTAATCCACAGAAGTATTTGTAGATATGTAAATACATCGCAGCTACATGTAACTAGACTACAATTGCACGCGAATTAAACTCAATTAAGACTTTGATTGAATAAGCTGGCGGGCGTCAATCTTTTGACCAGTAATTCGTGGGTATTATAGTGCTTGCTATTCAATATGTGAGGGAGGTTTGAGGAGTTCACGAATTTTCGGGATAGTAGCCTAAGATAAAATACTCTTAACGCTACTAACTATCCTTAATTGACTTACATAAGGGTCTGATATAATTAGTAACTACATTTCGTTAGTATTCGAAAGTCATTGCAGACAGATAACTTTTAAAATGTTGATAAAAATTAATTCAGGATTTGGATTGAAATTATTATTTGTTGCTAAAAAGTTGTCTCTGGAATTAGAAGAGTCTTAATTAATACCAACATTAAAGGTGGATATCGGATGTCCTTGTAATTTGATCGGTTTGGTCTATGGAATTTTTTTGAATGAACTCTCGGTTTGGCAATTTAAAACAGTAACTAAAGTAAATAAAGTAGTAGTCAAGTAATTAACTAACTAATTCTTAATTAAGGAAATAATTGAGCTCAATCAACAATGAACAATTGGAATATTAGTTTGAAAGTGTTTAAATTAACTTCTGATTGTGTTTTTTGTATTGAAAGTGAGTATCAAAAATAAAATCTGCTGTGATTTACTTTCATTAAAAAATTCTAAGTTAATTAAAAAGCTTAATTGTCTCAAGTAAATTGGCAATTTTGAAATGTGATTGTACTATCATTAAACTATGGATACTATGTACATCAGTTATCAAAGAGAATCTAACTGAACCAGTTAAAAAGGAGGTCCAATAATGCTAACAAGATAATACCGACAGTTGTTTTGGAACTAATGTTGGCAATTTACGTTATTTGTACTTAATGATATGAAGATAAGACACAAAGATTTTTCATATTCATTGTAGAGTTTTGACATAGATGATCAGAGTAGAGTACATCGCAGTAGGATAAAACCCATTTGAAAAGCAAGATAAAATAACAAAAATGGAATGAAAAACAATTTACGAACGCTCTGAGGTTGGAGAGAAGAATGGGAGGGGTGGATTGAATTGTTAAGGGTTAAAAATGGCTTATCCCGATTTCGAGCAAAACTACGAGTCCTATGGAAAAAAGTTATGTGAAAAAGTTGTAGTTAATGAAAACATGAAAAAATTTTTGTGTTTACTCCTTTTTCACATAACCTCAAAATTTATGTGAAAAAATTAAAATAACCAAGTTTTTGGTTTTAAGAAAAAATTTTGTTTAATGAAATTTGATATAAACTTTATGTCTCAAACATACTGTATTTTTATACCCTGAATAGGTAATATTAAGTTTGCCACAAAGTGTAACACCCTATAAAGTATTGTAAACAAATGGTCAGCGTGACGAGCTGACTCGATTTAGCCATGTCCGTTCGTATGTCTGTATATGTATACGCGAACTAGTCTCTTAGTTTTTGAGATATCGCTCTGAAATTTTGCACACGTTCTTTTCTCCCCAAGAAGCTGCTCATTAGTCGTAACCGCCGACACCGGACCACTGTTGGATATAGCTGCCATACAAATAGAACGATCCGAATAAAACGCTTATATGGAAAGCATTTTTATTGA